GTATGGCATCGTTAAACACCTCGTTCAGCTCTCGTACTTGACGCTGGAAAGCTCGTGGTTGAAGTTTCTCCTTGGCTAGCCTGACAGACTTACTAGGTTATCTCACTAATCCTAAACCCCATGTTCTAGCCAAAGATATCACCATCGCGCTTGTGGCATCGCAAACCCGCAAACGGCGAGAACAAGAAGGCCTGGAGCCAGGGCGCCTAATAGACTGGTCCAGACCACTTCTCTGCACGAGCCATCTTCTGTCGTCATTCATACCTTACCTCTCTCCACGTTTGGCGCGGGTTTGGCCGAATTAGATTTCTAAACCTTTTCTATAGCACCAGCCACATCTCGTCCCATCCCAGTCGAACTGCTGGGCTTTTGCAGCCACACATATCTCGGGAGTATAGCAAACAGAGGTTCGTCTACACTGCGTCACATCTCGCGACGACCAACAACCTGAACTCGATAGCAACAAGTCTAGACGAGTCTTCGTCGTCGGACTTGGGCTTCTCATCCGCTTTGGCTAAGGTATCAGCTACCCGCACACATCATAGAAGAATGAGCGTTCTACGGGATCAATATTGCAGTCCACGGGGGTTCACAAACCTAATGCAGAGTCTTCAAGGCTCGAGCTATGATGCGAATAACGACGCGCCTGTTTCTCAGCTCGCTCGGCGCGACTTACAAAGTCAAAGCCAGGCAGTCCCAATCGGCTACATGGTCCGCCCTGCTCCTCGAGACTGTCGCTGGTGGAACATGCTGCATTCACGATCATTAGAGCGAGATAGCGAGATGCGGCTCACCATCCCGGCGCCCCCAACGTCGTCCCGAGATGATCGCCATGACGAATGGACAGGCCTACCCCTTGGCGCAGCCTACTCGCTGCTAATCTGCAGGTTGGACGTTGTAAACGCGCGTTGAAATTACGAAGAGACAATCCAGCTGCGTTCATGTGCCTCGCTCCAAACCTCCAAAGTCATGCGAAACACCCCTTTGACGTCATGCCTTTTGCCCCCACGCCCATGGCAGAATAGCGACCACAGGACGACTGCACAATGCTGCAATCGGGCACGTGGCACGTCACATCATCACTCCATCGCTATTGGCCACTGCCGTCTCGAAATAAACGGCCTTGAATCATCTTCTGAGCCAACAGTTTGGATGGCAACACGACAATAGTACGGACGTTTAATCATAACGTTGACGAGCCAGTCGGGCGCTTGCCTCCTTGAGCCGCGGCAACGTATATCCTGACGTCGCGAGACCATCCTTCGCGGCAGTGTTTCCGAACCCATTTGCGGCAGGTTGCAGAACTCTTCAGCCATGGGACCGTTTGCCCCGGCACCTTTTGGGACAACACTGCAGACAAGCGTGTTTCCACAAATTCCGAGGCCGCAATGTCCACTATGAAGTCATTATGGTCAGGGCGGGCTGGGCCATCTTGTTTCTCACCCCGGAAAATGCACCTCGCTAGGATCTTTAGATCAGCATTGGGGTTTCCTGACCAACGGGTTCCTGATACGAGCCCGGACGAAGTATCCGTGAACTGGCTCGATATCTGCAACAAAGATATTCAAGTTTCATCTGCTGCTTCGAGGCTTTTAAGAATCGTAGTGTAGAGATCGACTTGATAGCTGAGAAGTCGGACGCCATGTTCCTTTTCTTTTCAATTTGATGTTACAATGCGTATTCTCTACCGATTCGTGTTCATCCACTGGTTGGGCTCCAACTTATACAGGCTCAGAGATCCACAGTTTAGGCTCTGGCGGTTGGGCTGAAAATCGCGGACTACCTTTAAGCAGGGCTTGAAGTCAAGGAAGGCACTGCAATATCCTAGACTTTTTATGCGATTGTAAAGCTTCAAAGGGCTATGGCTACAGATCATAGGAGGCGCTGCCCCATGCCGCTGCCTGATAATGCTGATCAGCAGTCAGGGGCGCACAGCTTGAGTGCATGTTCGTATCAGCTGCCGAAGTACTTCACGGCAGGCTGGTACGGGTACTTGCCCCTCGTTACATCTTCTTGTCGCTCTGTAGTGAGTGGCTGAAGCATGGCCTGAGTCGTGGACCACCTTGGATATCTAATTGCAAGGCATCGCGGAACCTTTGCACACGCAAGATGTCGTAGAGGACGAATATAGACTTCAACTTCGCATTATGCGGTTCACAATCACTATCAACTATTGAGCGTGTTTTTTACTTTCATTGGCCTTCCTCGTGCTATGAACTCGTCACTAAGTTTGGTAGCAAAGTAGAGAGGGTTCGATGGTGGCATGGTGAAGTCACAGGTGGTAATCATGCCGTTTTCTTTTGATGCTGTGCCGCCGACGCGCGCCCGCGCTCAGCGCCAGACCGATGGGCGTAGGTATACTTGGATCTGGGAGTGACTACCAGCTCTCAACCTAGTGGTATCGGCAGGGTGAATGAGTTCCGAGCGAGCAAAAGGGTGATCAGGCAAGCCCACCGCGGGGTATGAGGCACGGGTGAGGAGGTGTGGAGGGGTGATGTGCGCAAGTGCGGCCATCAACGAACGTCCCTCTGGAGCTGGTCACCACATTGACAAGCGTGGACTTTGGGCACTGTGTACTGCCCATCTGTGACGCCCATCCAGGTCGCGAGTAAAGTGCAACCGCTGAGGGAAAGAGAAAAGATCTGCCTTTGGCGGAGGGGTGTAGATCGGCCGCTAGAATCGCCATTTGGGGTGGATTGGAGGTTGCGGGGGCGGGGGGGAACGGGGCGGTATTGTGATGTTTGTCAGGTGTCAGGACTCTTGGGGATTACGAAAATTTTGACTTCAAATTAGATGTTGTTCAGCTCTGAAGAATATACTTTGATTCACTCCTGCGATTGGTCAATCAATCTCGGTCTTAGAATGTTCTGTATTTGCGTACATGATATTTGTAGAAGACAAACGTTGAAGGGACAATGCTTTCGGGTCTGGCCTTAGGGGATCATATGATGTGAAACTTATTCCTCGATTTGATCATGTCCTCGTGCTTAGATAGTGTACATACGTGCCAGTTCCGTTATTCAAGATCTTACCTTATTTCCAATTCTTGACGCAGTGTGAACGATGTGAATGAATCTTTATTGACGCAAGAACAGAAAGTGGATACAAGTACATACGCACGGGATCTGGCTCATGATTATGAATCATAAAGGTGATTGATATGCCTACCTCTACAGTCGAAGGCTTGTCCGGATTGGGTACCTTGAGGGTGTATACGAACATCGTACACATCTACAAGTCTGAGAGTCTTCAACTTATAGCTTAGTCAGATTGAGGTCATGCTACAAGGTAACACAGGAACTCTATACGCGGCTTCGAGTATCAATGAATATTCAGCATAAAAGAAAAGACAGCACGCATGTGAAGTGGATAGTACTGCTGGCTTGTTGGAGACGAGAGTATGGTCAGTTGTTCAAAGCCATAGGACTGCCAGAAGTTCATGCTAGGAGCTCTAGAAGTCACTTTAAGAGCCTATTGGGGACTGAGATCATATTAGATCCAGTTGTGGTGGATAAGTATGACCTGGTAATGGCGGTGCAACTGAATGAGTAGCTCAAGTGAGTCGTTTCCAGAGTTTGGCTGGTAAAGCCAATGCATCTGAACAACAACCGGCACGATTGACATGTGCATTATCCTACCACATCCTGCTAAGGTAGTTGGCGACCGGTGTAACATTTCAGGTATCAAAGAACGGTTTAGACCACAGCGCAAGCTATCCTCAATATACTGGAGGTCTTCAAGTTCAAAACTCACCCGTAATTTCTGATAGTATGCAAGTTGCTCGTTGGATATATCGGCAATGCTTCGAAGTTATCCACATAGCTCAGAGAAACTCTCAGACCTCACTCTATTTGAACGAGAGAGGTATGGTTCTCGCCTACCTTTAATGATCTTGAAGAGGAGTATGGTCGAGAAGGGATCCCGATGTGCTTCTCTATGTGTCAAGGTGACGAGCCGAGTGCTTTTGAGTCTTGACTGGTGACCATCATCCATCGGACTATTAGCTCTAGCTGACTTCTATGTTTCTGCATCCAACTCAATCCGGTTTGTTCACACATGGCCTAGTAGCTGTTCTTTCCATGCGCATTCTCGCCATCAATGCTCCTGTGGTCTGATCTGAAGAACATTGCTGTTGAGTGTCAAATGTGGGATGAGTGCTTTTAGCCAGCTCACCCGGGAAGCTGCTCTCAGGGACTCCTCAGGGTCATGCTCTTGAATTGGTAGAAGGGAGATATTGGGATAAGTAACCCCGACTATACTGATGCGAACCGGGTGGCTACGATCCGGGTGCCATCGAACTCCCACACACGTTCCATGCAACTTCACTGCCTGGTCCGACTTCGAATGGTCTCAGCAATGCCAGGATTCCGAGCTATAGCGGCAGTGGCAGGCGACTATTAGTCGGCCTGATCACGTCTTCGTGTTCTTCCAGATCCTGGGCATCGCCACTATCGCCGGCTCTCAACAATGACGATGACCGCGAGGGAATCGCAACAATGCTAACCACATTCTACCCGTTCAACAGAAGACCATTGATAAAGTTGTAAGCCATTCTTTTACGGCAGTACCAGAACTGATGTGTGAGCCACGGATTGCCTTGCGGCAGTCAAATTGAGCAGGGCAGACACTCGGGAACGGCGTGACCGACGAGGCCCAAAGTGTGCTCTCAACAATCAGCTCCTAGTGCGGCCGCATCGCTCACCGCCCCACGCTTCCACACGTCAAGAAGTCGGAGCAGATGAGCTGCACGCAGGCCTGCCCTGGCATCTCAAAATCCCCGATGGGTTTATCCTGTGCCGACGAGTGGATCTGATTCCGGGGCTCCACATGCTGACCAGACCTAAAGGGCGTTGACAACTGGAGTGTGGTCACAGCTGGAAGCGTGACCCGACATCGGGACGGGGACCGGGACCTGTGACTCCACAGATAAGATACCCAGGAAAAACTTAGCGCCGCTAATTCTCCCCTCCCCGCCAAACAGCGCTGCCCATCCCACCTCCCATTGACTCACACAGAATTAATTGGCCCATGCCGTCACTCACCTCTTTTACTTTTTTTTCTCAGAAGTACCAAACAACAATCTTTCCAGCTCTTCATCCGGTCAATTGCTTCGACGCAAACTTCCTCTGTTCCGCAAAACCTCAATTGATTCCCCCCCAAACCCCCTACATCATCATTGACAAAATGGCCGGCGAGAAGGGAAAGGTCTGCTTGGCGTAAGTGTTCTGCCCCTCCTTCCTCCAATTTCAAGGGCCGCGCGCCTGGCCCTGCGAAAGTCGGTCCCAAAAGTTTTGTGGAGCGAAGTTCTGCCGGACAAGGTTTTTGGTCATCACGTGCCTCATTGAGCCACAGTGATCTTCAGCCACATGATGGCTGGAATGTGACTGTGAAGCTGTTCTTAGAGATACAGCGGCATGGAGGAAGAGACAGTAATGAAGATTTTTGCTAATCAATACCTTGTAGCTACTCAGGTGGTCTTGATACCAGCACTATTCTGGCCTGGCTCTTGGAGCAGGGGTAAGTCATTGACCAGGACGGAACTTTGGCCAGTCAAAGCTAACTTGGTAATCAGATACTCCGTTGTGTATGTGCTTCTCGGCCGTCTGTAATGGCAGGCGTCAGTTTGGAGTCGCCAGTCTAACATGGAAACAGCTGCTACCTTGCCAATGTTGGACAGGAAGAGGGTGAGACTTCATATGCCCAGCATCTCTACATCAAAGCTAACTGAATATTAGACTGGGCCGCTGTTGAGCAGAAGGGTTCGTTGCAAACCCCGCTTTCATTGATATATCTAGGGGTGGCATCATTTGATCCAGTGAGCTAATGCTGTAAACCAAACAGCTCTTCAGATCGGTGCCGAGAAGGTACGTAGACACCATAGTCACGACAAGCTGTATGAAGCATCCTGAAGACCCCCGCTAACAAACTACCCTAGATGATCATTGATGACCTCAAGCGCGAGTTCGTCGAGGAGTAAGTTATCAAGGAGTCTGTGTGAATGCTACACTGCTAACATCATGTCAGGATCTGCTGGAAGGCTGTTCAGTGCGTAAGTAAACGCTGATGTACAGCTTCGACTATGCCAATTAGCTCACGACCACCTGCCCACTGTAGAACGCCATCTACGAGGACCAGTACCTTCTCGGTAAGCTTATTTAGCGACCGAAGACATCCGAATGCTCATTTCCTCCGCAGGTACCAGTCTGGCCCGCCCCATCATTGCCCGGGGTCAGATGAAGGCTGCCGCCGCCACTGGGTGAGCTGAACTGGATATCCCATTCGGGAACATTGAACTGACATGGTATCGCAAGCTGCCAATTCGTTTCCCACGGCTGCGTAAGTAATGGACACATCCAACTCATTTTCACCCTTGGCTAACTCTGCTCGCAGACCGGAAAGGGGTAAGTGATCAAAGGCTTTTGGGGGCATGTGTCTCGCGCGAGGCTGACTGTTGACTTTGTTGAACAGTAACGACCAAGTTCGTTTCGGTAAGACTTCTGGCCTGTTCATCAACAATTAGCCCTTCAATACTAACGGGAAACAGAGCTTGCTTTCTACACAATCAACCCTGAGATCAAGGTCATTGCCCCGTGGCGTGGTACGTAAACCAATGTCTATGTAGTAACCTTTTCCTGACTAACGAACTTGCCCAGACCCTACCTTCTTCAACCGCTTCCAGGTAAGTCTTTGGTGCCGCTATTCTAGCTGAACTCGCATTGCGTTGCGAGTATCGCCGCTGACGTCTTCGCACTACAGGGACGCAACGATCTCCTTGACTACGCGGCCGAGAAGGGTAAGCTAGCCTTGCTCATCTTGTTGATTGTTTACTAAAGCATTGTTTAGGCATCCCTGTCACCAGCACCAAGGCTAAGCCCTACTCTATGGTGAGAAATCCCCCCTCTTTCACCAACCCCCAGAACTTATGGCCGTATGCTGACTAGACGTAGGATGACAACTTTGGTATTTCACCCCATCTCGGAAGAAAAAAGTACCCCTACTGACATGAAAAGCCCACTGCTCGTACGAGGCTGGCATGCTCGAGGACCCCGATGTCACCCCTCCTGAGGACATGTGGACCAAGACTGTCTCCCCCCTGAAGGCTCCCGATACCCCCCTCGATATCACCATTCACTTTGACAAGGGTATTCCCGTCAAGGTCGTCACTCCTGAGCAAACTGCCACCGACGATGTTGAGCTCTTCGCCCTGCTCAACGCCATTGGCAAGGAGCACGCCGTTGGCCGTATTGTAAGTCTTTCCAGCTAGAACTATCCCACGTTGCTTGAAGGCTCTATGAACTAACACTAGACGTAGGACATTGTCGAGAACCGGTACGAAAATTTACCTCCTTCGTGATGGAACCTAAACTGACTTGGACATCAGCATGATCGGCCTGAAGAGCCGTGGCTGCTACGACTCCCCCGCCATGACTATCCTTCGTCTGGCTCACATTTCCCTCGAGGGTCTCGTCCTGGACGGTAAGGTTCGCGCCTACCGCGACTTGCTGTCCAAGCAATGGTCGGAGTGCCTGTACAACGGCTCTTACTTCAGCCCTGAGCGCGAGTTCTTGCAGCGTAAGTCCCAGTTCGCCCACAATTGATGAAAAGAGCCGAAAGCTAACCGCGTCGACAGCGTCTCTGGACCACTCCCAGCAGCGTGTATGGAGAAATCAATCCCCTTATGGTGATTGTGTCGTAGCTGACAATGGTCGTTCTAGGTCAACGGCGAGGTCCGCCTCCGCCTGTACAAGGGCAACGCTTACTGCCTTGGTCGCAAGTCCGACGAGAAGCTCTACTCCGAGGAGGATGCTTCCATGGACTCTCTCACCACCTTCGACCCCTCCGAGACCGTAAGAAGGCCATCCACAGAATCGATTGAAGAAACCTGTATACTAACGAGATGTGACAGTCTGGCTTCATCACTATCAACGCCATCCGCCTCAAGAAGGTACGTGTCAACCAAATGCGTCGCACCTTTCGTGTTCACTAGCTAATGATCCCATAGTTCGGTCTCCAGAAGGCCGAGGCCGGTCTCAAGTTCTAAGGAGAAGACGCTTGGATTCGGAAAATGCACCTCAATCGTTCCTATGCTTAGGCCGACAGATCGCTGTAGATCGGGAAGGTCGATCGTAGCAATACAAGGGTTCTCTTTTTGATCAAGTTTGATTCACCTTGCCACGATGCCGTGATGTTTCGTTCAACATACATGCCTTATCTTGTGAACACAACCTTGCTCACAGTTCAGAGGCTGCTTTCACTTGCGCCTAGAATGTTAGGAAGGGACCAGTCTCGTATCACATGAGAGGTGGCAAAGGTAATAGACCGTCAAGGAGGCCAGGGCTAAACTGGCGCGCGAGAGCGCTTCACGTAGACAGGCCGATTTTAGGATCATGGTAACCTAAGAAATGCAAGGACATCGAATAGACAGTTGCAATGGTATCTCCAGAGTCTATAGAAACATCTTAAGCTGAGAGAGTAAATAATAGTAGTCGAACCCGTTTACCTAAACCTCTATTGTCCATGAACCTTAATGACGAAACTCTATTTCTTGTTTCCAACGTCTGAAAAGACAAACAGTCAGCACTTTTCAGATCATCAATCACCGTACTTTGACCAGCTCTCAACTTACTGAATTGGAAATGGATAATGTCACCGTCTTGAACAACCTGCAAGAAAAAGACACAAGATCGTCAGCGTTTGCCAGCCTCTTAGGAAGTAAATCAGGTATAACTCACATAAGACTTTCCTTCCTGGCGGTACTTGCCAGCAGCCTTGATGGGACCCATGGACTTGCCGCCCTCGCAGAGGTCGTGGAAGTCCTGGTAGGCGACGACTTCAGCCTTGATGAAGCCCCTCTCAAAGTCGCTGTGGATAGCGCCGGCAGCTTGCGGAGCAAGGCAATTTCTCGGGATCGTCCAGCATCTGATCTCCTTCTCACCCGCTGATAGAAGGGTCAGTATGGTCGCTCAGGGGCCAGCAAAAAGCCTAAACATACCAGTAAAGTAATACTGCAACCCGAGCTTCGTGAACCCCTCCGTCACAATCTTGTCCAACTTGGACTTGACCTTGCTCTCCTTGAGGAACTCGTCCCGCGCGGCCGGGTCGTCCTTCAAGCTGTGCAGCTTCTCCTCGAACTCGATGGAGAAGGGGATGATGTCGCGTGGGACGCCGCCGTGCTCCGTGACCCACTTTGCGATGGACGGGAGGTACTTGCTCTTTTGGCGGAGGTAGTCCTTCATTGTCAGGTTGACGAGGTAGATGACGGGCTTAGTGGTGATGAGGGACATCTTTTCGTTGATGAGGGCGATTTCGGCGGGGGTCCAGCTTCCGTCGCGGACTGGGGTGTTCTTCTCCAGCATCTGGTTTACCTGTGTAAGTACCTTATATGACGTGGTCGAAACGGCTGGAGACTTGAGCCTGGAAAGTTTGGACTTACAGCTTGGATCTTTGTCGTTGTCTCTGTGAAGAGGGGCAGCATCTTGTACTTGCCCCCAGCTTTTTTGACGATCAACTCCTCGGCAACAATGGTCTTGGCAAGAATGTCTATGATGGGTGTAAGCCGAGTGAGCCAACATTCTAGAGGAAAATACATACCAAGATCCTTCTTGCAAAGCTCGTTCTGGATGGTTTCTAGAAACGGCCCAGTCAGTTTTCTCAATATGAGAGAAGTGCCAGAGTTGCATGAACTGACCCAGGTCACGGACGGGATCAACCGAGTCATCCACGTGCAAGACCTCGTCGTTGTCAAATGCTCTATTCCACAACCCCAGTTAGTCGCCAACTCATCACGACGTAGTCCTTCAGCCACAAATGATGGTTACAGTACCTGACAATGTGGAACATGCCATCAACAGCCTGAATATGAGACAAGAAAGCATTTCCAAGTCCCGCTCCCGTCGAAGCACCCTTGATCAAGCCAGCAATATCGGTGACCTGCAGATACGCGGGGTACATGGAAGGCGGCTTCCAGAGATCACACAAAAAGTCCTACACATAATCACACCCAAGTTTCAGCCACATATTCAATTAAGAGCGGCCCTTTTCAATAGGCAGTCGAATTTTCTCGTGTCTCGACTCTCAACTTACATATCGAGCGTCGGGAACAGCACATCTCGCCTCGTTGGGCTCAATCGTACAAAAGGGGTAATTCTCCGCAGCGGCGCTCTGCTCGGTCAAGAGGTTGAAGAGACTCGACTTGCCCACGTTGGGCAGGCCGACGCACCCCATCTTGAGGTTCTTGCTGACCCTGCCAAACGCCACGACATTGTCCTTGACAACTTCAATCTTTTTCGGAGGCATGGCGACGGCTGTTCTGAACTTTGACAGTACTTGATCGAGGCAAAAATAGAAATTTTCTACCAGAATTCTTCCTTTTTGAAAGTTGTAAAAAGACAGATTCTGCGGGCAAACTTTTTTGAAAATGGCCTGATTATTCGAGTTTAGGCCCACTTAAGAACAAGGGTTAAGGGAGATGCAGTTTTAGGGGTCCTTTTCTGGAAGGCGGCTCGTGCGGAATCGGCATCTGGGGAAAATGACCAAAATAACCGCCCCACGCGCTGCTCTAAGCCCTTTAAGCTTGACAGTGAACCTTCACAGGGCTTCTCTGTTCAAACGTTGAACCAGGAAGTCTTTAAATGATGATCAGCTACATGACAATAAGTCTTGAACCATTCACATTTATCGACGGTCAGAGGTGACCTAGCTAAGTAGCTTCTATTCAGCGCGTTCAAATGGTGTCATTATCACCACAATCCAGAAGCAAAAGGGATATCGTAAATCTCAAGTACTTCAAGATCTCCATGGATATGTGGGAGAAACTATGTATTGCACAGGGAGAGTTGCACCATTGATACTCGAGGCTTTATTTAGTCATACGACTGAAGGAAAAATACATTCTGTCAAGTTCATGTGGATGCTTCCACCTTGTTTCGCTGTTCATCAAAAGCCGTCTTCCATGACGCCAGTCAACCCTGAAGATCGTTACATTCCCGCTCGAATCCGCGCTCATAGTTCCCAATGCTAGCCCGCTGTTCCGTGTCATAATCCTGTAGTCCACTTGGTTCTGTTCTCTCCTGGTGCATTGACATTACATCTCCTTCAAAAAATCATCAAACTCGGTCTTGGTCTTCATGTGTTGTGGGAGCAACATCTCCTCCAGTGCAGAGGCGATGTTATGAAGAGCATCAAGTTGCTCCTGTTCAACCAACATGTAGATATAATGGTCCTTAATCATCTCCTCGGTCCAACGCTGGTGACTATTGGGGTCGGCTACGAGGTTGCAGATTTGCTTGAGTCGCGCTGCGTAGTCCCGGAGCATCGCAGGATCCAGATTGCTGAACTCGGCATGGGACAGCAACCCAATATGAGCTCTACCAGAGTCACTCTCAAGCCATTCCGAGCCGTTGTTGGTCAGGGCGAGGGACGCGGCGTTGACAGTAGACCTCAGGCACTGGACAACAGCTACGGCAGTCTCCGAGGTAGTCTGGGGTAGAAAGTGATAGCTGATGGCGAGGACATCAATCGTATTTTGAACTTGGTCCTTGAGTGCGTATAGAGCGTCCCGAATTTGAGACAGACGAGATGTGGGCCGTGCCGGGATACGACCTGAACGTCCCGGGCTGTTGGCGGAATCTTCCGTGGTTTCTACCGGAAACTGCATGTCCTGTGTCCGGTAGCTGTTGAAGTCGCTTGACGAGAATCAGCGATGAGTACGACGATGCCGGGAGATAATGACTTACGCTTGTATAATGGGCAGAAACTCTTGCATCTGCTTGTCCTGCTTGTCCAGTGCAGCGGCATACTTGTTCAAGCTCGCACGGATCCTTGCCTCTTCGCCTGCCGGATGCTGCGGCCAGGCTCTGGCTTTTCTCCGAAGCCTTGCAAGAACAGTACGCAAAGAATCCATCCAGAGCATGACACTGGGATCGAGCGGAATTTCCTTCTCAACATTCGTATCCCACTGAGATGCGTAATCTGCGAGTATGGGACGAAGATCATTGATGTTTGCCATGAGGGCTTGACAGCTGTTGGCGATAGCCGGCGCCTTGTCAAAGCCAGTCAACTCCTTGCTAGTCCGATTGAATGTGTCAAGTAGGTATTCGCCAAGTGACTCTAGCTTCTGGCTGATGATGGTAGGATTCATCGAGGAGTCGTCCAAGTCGAGGGTTTCGCCCAAGGTGCCTTCTGGTTTACTCGATGACTCAGCCTCGTCGGCGTCCTCGTTGCCCATTGTTAGGCGGCCGATATCCCGATTCAACTCCTCGATTTCCTTGCCGTTGCTTGGTTTCAGTGGCGGCGTTGGAGTTTGCTGCTTAGTCTGATATGAATTCCAGATTGGCTGAATGGCCTCATTGGGTAGGAGGGAGTTCCCAAGCAAATCTAGGAGATCTCGCCTTGGTGGCCGATCGCTGCTTGTTGCTACTGTTGAACTAGAGGCTTGCTTGGCGGAAATCGGGCGAGAGGAGCTCGCGTCTTCAGTCGTCAAAGGACCGGCAGCGACATTCTTTAGCGCACCAGCAGTCGAAGATGGTTTGTTGGCCGTGGTCGCCGTTGTGAGAGGGGCTCTACCGTCCTCATCATCGGATGAGAGTGACACGACAGAGTAGTCGTCGGCGATCTCCTCCCACTCTTCCAACCCCTGCTTGGCTGGGCTTTGGGGTCCGGCCATCATGTATTCGGAATCGTGTTAGGATCGGCAGGTCTTGCTAGCGAAGCGAACGTGGAGAGTAATGGAATCTGTCAGCCAGAAGATGTGCTTCAGAATGTTAGCAACTGATAGACAGGACAGCGAGCTGCGACATTGAGGGAAGTGGCACTTTAACTACCTAATACTTGATGACAAGAGTATTTAGACGGCGCGCATGCATCCAAGCTATGTCGTGTCCGCAAAGAAGAGAGGTTGACGGAAGCAGAATACTGTTACTAATGCCGGCGAGACGATGCGAGACGTGGAGGTGACGCGGATGGGGCTGCCGGAAGGAGCCTCACGTAGGTGCAGCCTGATGCCGGCGGCTTACGAAAGACAGGGCAGATAAGGGAATGGTCGGGCCTCAGGTTGATAGTTACTGCGCTGCTGTTGATGCTGTGAGATGATAATCGCCCTCAACAGGTTCCGCGTCCAGGCGAGAAGAATGAAGCGGGAAGAAAGATGACCTTACTCCGTAGTTACCCCAGGTTGACACCTTGAGTGACTCGTCAGGAGAGGTTGAATGCTGAGGTAGGCGGCAGCCGCACATTGAGGCCCGCTGGAGCTCCAGCGTATCAGCAAGCTTATGCGGGGTTGATGCCGCTGATCATGCCTTCTTTCGGCTCCGGGTGCCCTTCCTGCAGATCGTCCGCCCCGCCGTGGAAGGTCACTGACCTCGCGTACCTATCTTATCTCATCGGAACTAATTTCCGATAACGATAAGACATCCTGAGCCCGGGCATGGACTTCTTCCATTGCGTCGAGCGTTTTTTCGCATTCCCTACCTAGAACTGGAACACCAACTTTGTCAACCTCGACAACATGGCTCCGAAATTTCTAAATCTTCACATGCACCGCTATCTCTCAGAATGAGACACGCTCTTCATATAGAATCGATATTAACCACAAATCTATGGCTGCTGTCATCCTGCTGCATTCTCGATCGCGTCTTCCGTCGCGAGAGTCCCAACGGCCTATTCCGAACAACCTCTATTCCTAACAAAAGAAATGCTTCAAACAATGGGCATGGTCTGGGCCATGCCAGAAACGTACTAACTGAATCTACAGATGCAGTCTATGCTGAACGGCTCTCTGAAAGCAAGCGCCTTTCCCCGTGCCTGCCAAGTACCCGGCCCCAAGTCCTGAGAGCTTCTTCTCGATCGATTCCCTAAGCACTCATGCTGCTGTTCTCGTTCTGGATCTTTCCAAACTTTCTGTTCATCATCACGAGCTCGAGGCCGTTCTTGATTGGTGGCTCGCCGCGAAGCAGGAGACCGATCTCGCTCGGGTGGAACCAGTTCATCCACACCATGACGAGGAACATGAGCGTCGCGTCAAAGACGTAGACGTACGCCTCGTTGGTCATCAGATGGCCCTTGTTGCCCTCCAGGTACTCGATGACTCGGAAGACACTACGCACCCAGATCAGAACGCTGGTGACGTAGAGCGTCAGGAGGTAGTAGCGCCAGCGGATCTCGGGCTGGTGGGACTTTGCGGTCGGAACAAGCAACATCCTGCGGTGGAAGAGAGCGGCCACGACGATAAAGAAGCCAAAGACGGCGAGCTGAATGAAGAGGCCGACAATGATGACCTTCTCGCCAAGATCCATCATGCTTGCGCCAGACGCCATCATACCACCGCCTGTACCACGCGCGTTAGTGATTGCCGACTACTACAGGTTGCCCAAAAAGGGCAAATTCACATACCACTGGACTGCATCAGGAGCGAAAGGACATCTCCAGAAACGAAGACCTTTGTCAGGAAGCGTCTCTTAATCAAGGCATGGCTCTCTCCGTCGGTCAACATGATGATGCGACCTAGGATCATGTAGATGGAGGCTGCCATGAGGGCCGGAGCTATGAGGAGAAGGACATTCTGGATGATGTATGGGCCGAGAGTCCAGCATCCGGGCTCTTGTGTCGTGTTTTGCGCTCTTGCAGCGTATCCAACCACTTCACCTGTGCGGAGAATAGTGTAAGCTCATGATCAGGCCATAGACAAGGGACGGACATGATGTCCTCTTCAAAGCACTTACACAGTCCACCGATGACGAAGGCCGTCATATACCATGTCTTGGTCCTGACGAGTTGGAAGATGTGAAGACCGGTAGTGAGAACAAAGACGACGCAGAAGAAGACCGCCGCTGCCGTGGAAGGCTCGAAACGGTAGAACGACCATTCGGCGTTGACATAGTCGGGGGTACAGCCTCGTGCCATGTTTGCGATGTTGGGAGTTTTTGGGAACGAGATGGAGAGGAGGTTCTCGGCTGGTGACTGTGGATCGGTAGAAGTACAGCGGCCTGCTGTTCGAGGAAAAGAGTGTCGGGGAAGATCCAGATGAAATCGAAAGGAGCGTTCCTGGGACTTCAGATGCAGGCTGTTCCGCTCGCTGAGTGTCTTTCTGGGCGAAGAAGGTATGATGATGGGACTATCTCAAGATTCAAGGTAGCGAAGCGGGTTATGCTTATGTGCTTTTCACTTTAGGACGGCAACGGTCCACGTTGTGTGGTTCATCCAATAAACAAATCGGTTCAATCGTATTCCACCCCCTTAGACTCAGCCACGCAAAAAATACCAGTACGGCTCACGAACGGCAAGTTAGAAGGACCCTTGGCGCACCGTTCGCCAATCTTAGGGCCTACCGGCCAGTACTCCGTAGTGCTTCTGTATTCTGTCTGCCTGGGATGCGAGTATCACTGCGCCCCTCTCCGCGTCCCGAGTGTTTGTCTCTCCTCAGTCAAATCTGCTGTAAGGAATTCTCGATGAAATTTGGACAGTGGGCTTGACCCGGCCGTACAAAGACGTATTGAATACGGAACCAATCACGATTGTCCCAGTACGACTTGGCGTCCCTACCGGGCGCAGGGGCTGACGAAAGACGCCGGGATGCGGACGCTTTTGGGCACCCGGGAACGGTGGGCCGTGCATGTCAAGCGCCGGAAGATCCACTTTACTAGGGAGCGGGGCTCCGCTATTGCGAGTATTCGCATTGCTCTCTTCGTATTCCCGCATCTTGGCTTCGCAACCACATCGAACTCTGACTGACAACTGTAAAGCCGTCGGCTGGCGGATTACCCCGTGTCCACAATCTTCCATCAGTCTTCTTTCACTCTTATTCTATGTGGACAAAACCCGCGTGTTCGTACTCTCTCCTGCCTCTCCCTTCTGCACGCTTGATTTGACTGAGATGCTGTTTGCGTTTTATGTAGTTGGTTCCAGTCTGAACAAACTTCAGTTGGCGTTAGATCCGCTCCGGCACCCTCGTACACCCACCCATCACCGAGATCTAAGGTATTGTCACCTTAAACCCTTACACGCGGATATTTTCTTGCATCAACGAAAGATCTGAGACGGAACGGCCACCCCTCGTCCGTTGTCTATCTTGCTATCCAATGGCAACCCGTCGTTCCCATACCAAGTCCCGCACTGGCTGTAGAGACTGTAAGCGGAGGAAAGTCAAGGTAGGTGACACACTGACAGCCCTCCCTCCCTCGTCCACCTAGCTTGGCTGCCGCGTACCGAACACGCGGTAAGGGGGTTGGATCTAATCAAACTACCTAGCCTGCAATCAGATAACGGTGCCCTTCCATTTGTGGTTCGTTTGCTGACAACTTGAACGTACCCTAGTGCGATGAAGCTTACCCATCCTGCTTCAACTGCTCAAGACACGGCATCCCATGCAGTCTCTCAACATCACAGACCTCACCAGCTAACATCACCCCTCAAAGATCAACAACAACACCATCCGTCAACGGCCTCAGCCCAGAAGCACCATACAACTTCCTAGACGCCGCCATCGACCATGACAGACTCCATTCTCCCGCCCCGTCCATCGGCCACTGGGGCCACGGCCTGGAGTTGATGCACCACTTCACGCTCGTCACCGCAAACAGTCTCTCCGTCCGCCCGGACATGCAGCACGTCTGGCGTGTCACCATGCCCGAGATAGGCTACGATTGCCCCTTTGTAATGCACGGCATCCTCACAATTGCGGCGCTACACAAGGCGTATTTGATACCCTCGGCGCGGGACAAGTACCTCGATCTAGCGACGTCACATCAGACGGCAGGTTTGGAAGGCTTCCGGACGCAGCTTCACACCGTGAACGACACGAACTGGAAGCCATTCTTCTGCTTCGCGTCGCTCGTCGTCTTCTATGTCGCTTCGTTACCCGTGCGGATGGGGCAGGACCTCGACTCCGAGCCGGATATTATGGGTGTCTTTATCTTTGTGCGAGGCATTCGTGCGATACTCGAACCATATCAGACAAAGATTGTAAGGACGGAGTTTGCGCCAATGGCGACAGGAATATGGACCATCGACCCGAGTGATCCATCATATAAGTGCGTCGACACCCTGCTACCCGCAAAAAGACATTTCCATTCCCAGGACTGACAGATTGAACAGACTCCCACCCCTCCACAACTCCCCACTCCCACCCGACGTCTTCGAAGCAATCCAAGGCCTCTCAGACTTCTACACCGAAAACCTCCAGGACAGCGCGCGCGAAGAGTATTTGACGGCCGTAAGGGAGCTCGAAAAAGCAGTTTACCTCATGGCGCACGCCGGCGCCAACCTCGAGGTCGGCATGATTCTCTTCTGGCCGTACGTCATTTCGGAGAACATCATGGCCGACATACACGCCCTGAACCCGTACAGTCTAGTCCTGCTGGCGTACTTTTCCGTGTTCTTGTGTGTGCTCGAGCCGACGTTTTGGTTCCTTCGGGGGTGGTCGAAGAGGTTGTTTGCTATGGTTGATGCGCAGTTGGCGGGGCATCCTGTGCTATTGGAGGCTGTGAGGTGGCCTCGGAAGCAGGTGTATGAGTTTTATGCGCATATTTGACTCGGTGTTCTGGCCATCTGCAAGCGTATCTGATTCAAAAACGTCAACGCCATCTCGAAGCTCGATGGTAACTGACTAGCTCTGAATGTCATAGTGCGATTGAGTTTGACCAGCGTTGATGCCCTGGTCTCTCCCGTGCCACGATAGCATTAAACAGTCTAAGCGGTTCGACACCCTTGCACCGAGCAGTTTCCTCCCATTTTTTACGCTGTGACAGGTAGAAATTCGCATAATTTTTCTACCCCGATTTCTTTGTAGATAATCCCTCGTGGCTTCATATGTCTGACGACGTTCATGATTGAGCCAGTATCTTCAATGATGTAATATCTGGAGTGAAAACTGATACGTGAAGTAAGCGATAGACAGCTGGAAAATTGATATCACTTGAGATGGCAAGAATCATGTACTTCAGCATTTGATTATGATGAACGAAATAATACGCTCTAGGACTGGTAAAAATAAAGAAGTATGCTAGTAAAACTGGTAGATCAGAAAGAATTTGGGCAATAGTTCCTGCTCTACTGAGTAGTGAAACAATCTACCAACGGAGACTGTCATGAACTATGTCTTCTTTGGCTTCTCAACCCATCCCAAAAAGGAATTGACCTTGTTCGCGACTACCTGCCCTATTTCAGGCGGCCATCCCATTCGTCCTTGCTCCCTGTCCTCCGTTTCCTCCTTTTTTTTCCTGTCCTTCTCAGTCTTTTCGTCCAGTTGACTAAGTGTTTTTTGCCACACTTCTTGGTGATGTTTGCGCTGTTCTGCCGCCTGTGCCGCCTTTTGTGCCGCCTGTGCCTCCTGTGCAGCCTTTTCTGCCGCTTCATCCTCGGCCCGTTGTCTCTTCTGCGCTGGGCTCGGCATTTCAATGTTCTCATTTTTTCTTTTTCTCTTTTTCTCTTCATCTTCTTCATTCTTTCTGTCCTGTTCAAGTTTCGCAAGGGTTTCAAAGTACTGACTACCCAAGCGACGAAGTAATCGAGACTGCCAAACTCCTGGGTGATGCGTCATTAGAATCTCCTGGTACCATTCCGGTGCCAACTCGTCTGGGAACAACTCCAATGGTTCTTTCTTGTCCTGGACTATGGTTTTATCTGAGGGTATGTCGGGAAGGCGCACGAAGAATGCATCTTCAAGTCCACATGCTTGCTTCAAGGTAGTCAATCCACCAGATTCCATAGCTTTTTGGTGATTGATGGCTGGGGTTTGGGACGATTCGACGAGGACGAAAGTCTCACTGGCCGATGACACTCCAATAAAGTTGGTTCTTCTTTTTCCATCTTTCTGGGCTGTGACTTCTTCCCTCAGCTGTACCCAAGCCTCCTTAAACCCATTTCGCTCGAAAGCCCCTTCACTCTGCATAACAACACTGACGATAACGTTAGCATACCTAGAGCACATGAGTCGGCAATCTCACTTGGCGATTGATGGAAAGGAAGGGAGGGGTCATACAGGTCTACGCTTTGGAGCCCCATATAGTCCAAGGTACTAGCCAAGGAAAGAAGAGGATTCTTCTGTTCTTGGATTTTGAGTAGCACAAAGAGTTTCTCCCTGGGAACCTTCCCACTGGCTTTTCTAATGACATTGCCAAACGCCTTCTTGCGTTCGATGGGGGCGTCCGGGACTAGACCATAAATTTTGCGTTTGTGCAGCGTAGCGAATCGTGCTTCCATGATTGCTGAGGTTATTTTCGCAACTTCAGGAGTGCTAGGACTGTTAGCAGGATTGTCTGTACCAAGATTGTAGTACAGTGTTCCGATGTCAGCGATGTCAAGCTAAAATCGTTAGCACTCGCGTCGTCCAGAATGCAAAATCAATACCACTCACAACTGGAACAAAAGGTCCATCTTCTAGAGTGTGCTGTGTTGAGGCCATAGAGGAGTTTGAGGAGAGATGGATAAGAAAACTGGAACGAAAAAAATTGAAATATAGCGGTGTCGATAACCGGGCTGGCTGATGGGCGAAGAAGACGGCAATGCGCCTTCACCATTGACCTCAAAACGAAATACTAAAATAGAACGACCTTCTGAATAAGCATAAGGTAGATAAGGGGCAGAAGGCAAACGCAGAAGCTGCTGAAATGTGTCTATGCTGTGACTCTGGTAAGGCCTTGGATGGGCAGACAGTGGCTTTGTATATGTCAACACGATTGCATGCTTCTGTGCTCTTTGTCTGAATATTTCCACGTCTTCTGAACATCAGAATTTCATATAAGAACAGTGTTCTTGATTTTCTTTCAGCGAACATGAGGGACCGCTGATTCCTTTGTCTGAACACTGAAGTTATTCTTTTGTTAGTACAAGGATCCCTGGAACCTTGTAGTCATAGCAAACTTCATCCGCCTTTTCCTTTGACTTGCCTTGTCCAGATCTTCACT